CCCCAAAACCCCAAAACCCCAAAACCCCAAAACCCCAAAACCCCTTTTAGTCAATAAAAATTGAAAATATATCATAGGCAGTAAGTATGGAGAATCTGTGAAAAGCCTTAACAAGGAAAAGTCATAGCAGGATCAAGAAGATTTTTGGAGGACTTGATAATCTTTTGTACCCTAAGTGATATACGGGAGATGGACCTCTCATGTCCTATTCTGTAGCAATGTCGGCTAAATCTAAGCAAGATATGAAAGGGCTCAGGGTTATAAAGGTTGAAAACCCATCTGCTCCACACAACTTTGAAGATTTCTGGGGGTTTAATTTTATGAGGATGTTGAGTGATGGCATTGTCACAAGTGGTGCTAACATGAGAGTAGGAAGTCCTTACCCAGTCAGGTTTGAAAACTATGAATTCGATGTCAAGCTTGAAGATGGAACCCATGCTTACTTATGGGATGGGAAGAAAGAGATAGGAATAAGGACAAGATCATCCACTACAAGAGAAGTGATTGATAGATATTTTTCTGAGAAAGAAGAATTGAATCAATACTATAATTGGAAATTATTTGTGAGTGAAGAAGAGCCGAAAGATGAGAAAGCAGTCTTCTTGAAGGAAAATGAAGCTCATCATATTGCGAACTATCTTCATAGTGAGCTTGAATGCCAAAGAATCTTAGTTGAAGCAGGACCAAATACTGTTCATAAATATTTTAAACAAGGTCTTGAAGCCAAAAATCCTTTCGATGTTCTTTATGTTGCTGTTCACTTTGGAGAAGTGCAGAAAGACGACTTGGTTTATGGTAAAGATGGAGCTATTGATTTTATGGATCCATCACACCAAAATGTTGGCAAATATAATCTCCTAAACGCCTATGACATTGTCCATAAACAAGACGAAACTGTTGATAGCAACCCTTGGACTTACTACGTCTTACATCGTAAACCAACCTCTCTCTAATTTCAACCCCCAAAAAATGCCCAGGGGTTTTGGGGTTTTGGGGTTTTGGGGTTTTGGGGTTTTGGGGTTTTGGGG